GCGATAGAGCGATATAGTCAAAATCTCTATCGTTGGCCAAATTTATATCGTTTCTATCGTATATCGTTTATATCGCCCACCCCTAAGTGGTTCCCACCCCTTGGGTCTGTGAGTGGTTTGGTACCAGGCCATGAGAGCTGAGACTCGAGTGTGAAATTCATGGTTTTCAGGGTTTTTAGCGTTTTTTTCAGCGTTAACTCTGTTTCCCTGGGTCTTTTCCCATGTGATAAGATAAGATAACATAACCTTTATTAGTCCCACACATGGGAAATTTGTTTTGTTATAAGAAATAGAAATGTTATAGAAATATAAGAAATGTTATAAGGATAAGAATAAGATACTGTACACAATAGAATAAAATAAAATACAAATGCAATATACATCTGACAGCAGTGGGGAGGAAAGACCTGCAAAATCTCTCTGTCCTACACTGTGGGTGCTGCAACCTGCCACTGAAGGAGCTGCTCAGTGCTGTCAGTGTCCTGCATGGGGTGAGAGATGTTGTCCAGCAGGGATGACATATTAGCCACCTGTCACTCACCACCTCCACTGGGTCCAGAGGGCATCCTAGAACAGAGCTGGCCCTTGAGGTCCTTGGGGAGGGAAGTCTTTGGCAATGGTACAACACAGGAGGTTTTCCCCAGCCTCAGGCTCAGGTTGAAGAGGTGCTCCATCACCCCACACAGTTGGTCTGCGCAGGACCTGTAAACCCTTGAGCTAATGCCATCTGGACCAGCTGCCTTCCTGGCTTTAATCCTCCTTAGTTCCCTCATAACATGGGTGATTGAGGGAGACACCCATGTTACGTTTCAACAAAACATAACATGGGTGTTACAAGCGTTATTTTGTTGAAGCTGGTTCTCCATCTTCTGCCTGTAGCTGAACTTCCCTTTCCTTATCAGTCCTCTCAGCTCTCTCTGCAAGGCCCTCCTCTTCTGCTCAAGGACGGCTTTCATTTCTGGGGTAATCCAAGGTTTGTTGTTGGAGAAACAGCGCACAGTCCTGCTGGGTGCAACGTTATCCACACAGAAGTTGATATAGTCCGTAATGCATGTCACAAGGCTGTCAATGTCCTCTCTGTGGTCGTCACAGATCACCTCCCACACAGTAGACTCAAAACAGTCCTTAAGAGCCTCCTCGCTCTCCTCTGACCATCTCTGCACTGTTCGGGCGGCTGTTGGCTTCCTGCGCACTAAGGGCTCATACACAGGTTGTGATCAGATCTGCGCTGGGGGACATGCGCTGTTATCATGATAACATGCGAGATTTCCTGGGGGAGCTAGTACGGACGCATGCTAACGGCTAGAGGAATTTCAATACACAGCAGTATATTCACAGTTTAAACCAGATACTTACATACACTTTATGGAAAACACAAGAACATTTTTTTACTGTAAAACATCAATTTAGAGTAAACTTGTTTTGTTTTGGATAAATAAATATTGAAAGATCTTTTGAATTAGTTAAATGTCAGAATAAAGAGAGACAGAGCTGTCTATTTTAATCACTTTCATCAAATTTAGGAGTACATATACATAAGTTTATTGTTAATTAATAAGAAAACTCCAGACGATTCCATTCTGAGCTGAAGAAGCTTCTGATAGGTTAGCAGAGTCCATGTGAGCAAATTGGTGACACACCTGTGGATGCATATAAGGCAAAACACAGAGCCTGTTTCTTTGAAATGGGAAAATCAAGAGATGTCAACCAAAACACCAGGAAAAGAATTGTGGAGCTCCACAAGCGTGGCTCAATTTTGAATACAATTTGGTGCCATGTACAATTAAGAAATACAGATAGTTTCTCTCTTTACTCTTAAAGTTAACAATTATGTTTTTTTTATATTTATCAATCTAAAAAAAATAAACATTTAGTCTGATTTGATTTTACAATTAAAAAAGTGTTTGTGTTTTTATCTGAAGAGTTTGTAAATATCTGGTTTCAACTGTATATTTGATGATGTTGTTGTTTGGCGTGATTGTCAGCACAAAGAGGGAGAGAGCAGGTGAGACAAACATGTTAGTCAAATGGTTGTTTACCAAAAGTATCACCGTATCATAGGTACTCATGTATCTCGTATCTAGTGTTTCTTTTTAGGTTTGTTATTTTTCAAATTATTAATTATTTTAGGCTAAATAATTATATAAACTTTTCTGAATCTAAATAGTGGACTTTGGTAGAATTAAAAAATAAGTGTAGTGCAGGTCTATGATGATTTTTAGTGCTACTATCATCTAGTTTTGATTCTGGTTCTGTCTTGGTTAGGTCCTAAGTAGTCCTGATTTTGAACTGTTGTAGTCCTGTTTTAATTCCGGATCAGTTCTGGGTCTGGTTGAATTGGGGTTTAGTCCTCGTGTCTTGATACAGCCCTGACTTTGTTCTGACTTGCTGCTTAATTAAAAAAACTAGTTTAAGGTGTCCTGCATATGTGATATATATTTTTCCCTATATGAAGTCATTCTTTTTTTTATTTAACAAAACTCAAAACACAGCCTATTAATCTTTCAGTCCCCCCAATCCCACATGCATACTACCCTTTAGGGCTAAACCCCGGGTGTATCAAATGTCTGCCTCCGCCTCTGGTTCAAACAAAGGTGAAGTTACAGAAGAGAAACTTTTTTCTGAAGTCTGTGGGGGGTTTATCTCTCTTTGGCAGGTCGTCCGATCGTATCCCCCCATAGTCCGTCTCCTCCACCCCGCAAACCCAGAACTACATTTTCTGTAAGTCCTCAAACACACCACCTCATTTATTTCTGCACACAGACGTCATCATAAGTCCAGCATGTAACACAGCTTTACTGCTGTGTGTGTGTGTGTGTGTAGAAGCAGAGGCCTCAGAGGGTGAGGGCCATCTACAACTGTGCAGCGGACAGTCCAGACGAGCTGACATTCAGCGAGGGAGAGCTGATCGTGGTGGACGGCGAGGAGGACAGCGAGTGGTGGGTAAGTGAGAAACGCCTCCAGCACAGGAAACGCATCATCAGCACAACTTCATTCACTTCACAACATTTATTACAGCATGTGTGTGTGTTTAGATGAAAACCCACCTGAAGAATAATCCTGACCCGTTGTCCAGTTTGTGATTTAACCACCGTCTGCGTTTCAGATCGGTCACATCGAAAGCGATCCGACCAGGCGGGGAGTGTTTCCTCGCACCTTTGTTCACTTCCTGTCGGAGTGATTTGTGCCTCCAACTGTGGTCAGACTGAGGGCACATCTGGATCCTCCTGTGGACCTGAGAGGAGAGTCCGACACCCGAAGAGATCTGATTGGGGTCTCGATCTTCACTCATGCTCTTCTTCAAAATATGTCGGCCTGGGTTTGAAATGTTCTAAAAGCTATGCAGCGGACACAAAAAGAGCAGAGCAGACCAAAAGTATGTGAACAGTGTTCTTCAGTGATACGTTTACACACAGCAGAGCTACGTTAGTACAGCGCCTCCACAGACAGAGAGCAGGAACTACAGCTGAACACAGTTACAGTAAAATCCTTCACTGCCTTAAAAAAACACGACGAAACGACAGCTTTGGGGGTTTTTTTCAACTTCCTGTTACAAAACCAGCTTCATTTATAGAAATAATCTGTTTACTATGAAAGGACTTCATCTTCACTCTGTCAGGATGACCTCACCGGCATAGCGTCCACATACTTTTGGCGGATGTGATGTACATTTCTGTGGTTCTGCTGCTGGGATCCAGTTGTTTTACATCAGGAAAATTTAGCTTGTTTGTAAAAGCTTCAGGATGAAATGATTTTTATTATTTTAAGATCAAACATGTAATCTGAGCAGAAAATCTGAGTGTCCTTTAAATTTGAATGTATTTTCGACTTATTAAAATCATCATAAGTGTACCTGTGAGAGTCTGTCCTGTTTTTCTTTCCCAGCACTCACTTTTTCACTCTCATTTATTTCCCACAAGTTTTATCAGTGGCACAGATTTGTTTAGACACTTCACTGCTTCAGTTTTTATTTAGATGATTTATTTTACATGTTTCTGTGATTCAGTGAAGAGCAGTCTGAAGCATTTCATAAGTTGGAAGACAAATAATTGGCAAAAAAATCAAATGTAAAGAAATGGTCAAACTCTGTGTGCCATGATGAAACTCAAGGCTGCGATCACTTAAAATATTTCAGTTTACTCTCATATGAGTGTTACCGAAAACAATGACATATGTTCAGTTTTATGTGAGCGGAGCCTTTTCATTTTCTACATACTTGGAAAATCATCAGTTTGGACTTTCAGACCAGCTGGAATTACAGATAATCAGGCAGACATACCTGTGTACTAACAGGACATCGCTAATTACGCCGACCATCTTAACCACACCACACTGTGGTCAGAGCAGGACTTACAGCCATGCGGAACTGAACAACTACTGATGATCTGTGAAGGATCTAGAGCTGAAGCTCATCAGAAACATAGTCTGTAGTCAAAGAAAGCACTCCTGTTCTGAGATGACCTGTAAAGCTCTTTGTCAGCGCTGACATGTGAAATAGACTAATAAATGGGAGATGATGAATCGATACACGAGAAAACTGACAAGGACACACAGGATGAACAAACTGTGAAAACAAAACGGCATAAAAAAAACCCCAAAAAGGCATTTCCAGGGGAACAAATAGGTTTTGAAATCAATAAAAACAGAAAACATGTCAAAATAAAAAGCTGGTGTAAAACATCAAACCAAGCTGAGGAAAGAACAACATGGTTCTATAAACAGAAAGTGGTTCACACAAAAATACTTAAGTTCAGTCTAAACGTTTCCTTTAGTGCATAAAAGAGTTTCTCACTTCGAGACCTGAAAGCAGTTTCAGAGCTGAGGACTTTACTGAGAGTTTAACACAAACAGCTTTTCGCTCTGAGCTGTTCGGTGTCCGTGTTGTCCTACATCACTCTTTCCAAATTTCTCATCTCATCAAACTCTGTTAAAGTTACTGCATCACTCTATTTATACAAACTCTAATTATCCTGGATCTTTTCAAATTAATAGCCCTATAGATTCTCGCTGGTCAAAATAGCTTTCTTGACAGAGCTTTTATTATTAACCATTTTTAAGAACTTGTACGAAACTCAAACTGTTTCCACCTTTTATTAGAAAATGATCAATAATATTCATGCCATATCTGTGGCCCTGATGTTCATCCTGATTATTCTAGAAGAAAATCAGTGAGGGGGGGGGAGCATCAGCGAGCAGAGCAGGATGCATTTTGTCAATGTTTTTATGTAAGACATTTGTTTTTATTTATTTATTATTGCTTTTTAATACCTTGAGTACAAAATATTGAAATACTCAAATATAATACACAAAAAACATAGTCATGTATATGATTTTAAATTTAATTAAAGCCAATTTATAGAATGAATTTGTTTAAAGAATTTTAAAATCTCTTAAATTAAAAGTGCATAGACTTAAAGAGCAAAGATACAAAAACGAAAATAATTTTTGTTTGTAATTATTAGTAGTATATATTTAGTTAATAATTAATTTGAGCATTTATTTATGAATACTATTTATTTATTTGATACATATTAATCTGATAAAAAAAAATGTTAGATTGCTTTAAAGCACACTTCTCCTCCGGGATTCATCGCGGAACAAAAAGTTAGGACTAATGTTACTACACGGAAAGATTTCACCGCGGACCGGAAGTTACATATTAGTAAACCTTGTGGAGCCGCTGTTGATAGCAGGTGGCTAACTAACGGAGTGATGACGGAGTTTGTTTGTTTGTTTTTCGGCGTGTGGAAGTAAACAACATGACGGCTAAACGTAAACCCGACGCGACGGTTCCGGCGGAGGAGAGCGACCAGCTGCTGATCCGCCCGCTGTGAGTTTACGGCAACTTCAGCTTCTTTCTGTGTGCGGGCTCCCCCTCCTCACAGAACTACATTCAGAAAATCACTCATTCAGGGTTCATAAATAAACTATAAAACGCGTTAAACACACAACTTAAAGAGGTCCGCGGAAGTTTCCAGTGAAGCGCTTTGATTCAGGACTCATTTAACAACACTTATAATCTGAAAAGATCTCCCTGCCAGCTTCGACACAGCTGATAATTAAATATAAGGTCGTCTGTCAGTGCATATTTAATCTTATGAGTGTAGTCATGTGACTCCAATTCTTTCAGGGTTTTGCTCTTTTACAAATAAAAATTGACTGATTTTTGAATGGAGTTTGGTTTAAAGTGAGTTTGAGCTGGATGTTGGGGTGAGGTGTGGTTTGTGGTTTCAGTGTGTGTCTGTGTGCAGGGGGGCCGGTCAGGAGGTGGGACGGTCCTGCATCATCCTGGAGTTCAAAGGAAGAAAGATCATGGTGAGATAGTGAATATGAACCTTCCAGCTATGAACGTGAAGCCTCAGTGTGTGTAAAGGTCTGTGTCTCTTTGTGTGTGTGTGTGTGTCAGCTGGACTGTGGGATCCATCCTGGTCTGGAGGGGATGGACGCTCTGCCCTACATTGACCTGATTGACCCAGCTGAGATCGACCTGCTGCTCATCAGCCAGTGAGTTCACAGCCTCCGAGTGGTCACATGACTGCCTGCAGCATGAAGATGCTGATGTACTGCAGATGTTTGTGCTGACTCTTCCTCCCTCCATCAGCTTCCACCTCGACCACTGCGGCGCTCTGCCCTGGTTCCTGCAGAAGACCAGCTTTAAAGGTCGGACGTTCATGACGCACGCCACCAAAGCCATCTACCGGTGGTTGCTGTCCGACTACGTCAAAGTCAGGTGAGACTCGCCGGTAGACACGTTGACTCTGAGAATGTTTTTAACGGTTTAATAAGAGTGTGGGCGAATGCTGGTGAGCCTCACTTTTGGGTTACCTGCACACGAGCAAAGGTCAGTGTCAGGTCAGTGATAAGCAGCTTTAAATTAAAATAACAAGACATCCAAAGGAGGGTTATTTTAAACTGGAGTAATGCAAAGCTGCTGTAGGAGTTGTGAAGCAGAGGTAAGTGCTGTTTGCCGTCAAAGACGCTGCTGATGAGTTGTTTAGAATCTTTGACGCTTGATTGTCTGAATCGTGTCTGCAGTAACATCTCAGCTGACGACATGCTGTACACGGAGACCGACCTGGAGGACAGCATGGAAAAGATCGAGACCATCAACTTCCACGAGGTGAAGGAGGTGGCTGGCATTAAGTTCTGGTGTTACCACGCCGGCCATGTCCTCGGAGCCGCCATGTTCATGATCGAGATCGCCGGCGTCAAGGTGAGTTCTTCAGACATTGATCCAGCCTCCTCTGAGTGTTTGCGCCTCTGTGGGCGTGTTGCTACATGTACACACTCAGAGTTTTTATGGACATTTAGTTGCAGTTTAAAAACTACAGTTCAGATTCTTTGACCTTTTTTTAATCACTGCAGCTTGTTAAGAAATAAAGATGCTGCAAGAACTGAAAATAAAGGTGAAATAAGTTCCTGTGACTTCATGTGAATACGATGAGGGCGAGGCTGTCTTAGACACATGATCAGTGGGGTGATGCTTTGTCGCGTCGCAGTCGGGTTTTTCTGCGTTAAACAGCAGAGAAAATGGGCTGGTGTGTTCCAAAACTATTGTCTCTCCAGAGGGACCACCTCAGACAGGCACTTTGTTTTTGTGAATGAGTGAGTTTACTGAGGACAGCATGGCCACAGCTGCTAATCGCGCATGGTGTGTGTGTGTGTGTGTGTGTGTGTAGCTGTTGTACACAGGTGATTTCTCCCGTCAGGAGGACAGACACCTGATGGCAGCAGAGATCCCAAGCGTGAAGCCGGACATCCTCATCACAGTGAGTGATTCTGAAATCAGAAATCAACTGTTCAAAGTTTATGGCAGCTTTGCATGATCCGTCGTTCATAATAATCCTCCTTTATCTGATTCTGGGCTGGTTTGTCCTCTTTTAGCTACGCCCAGTTTAAGCCTAATTTCTCCTGATTGGCTGCCTCACAGAATCCACATATGGGTGGAGCATCTCAGTGACATCATCCAGATCCAAGAGTAGAAAAAAACCTGATATTTTAGAGCAGCCTGAACTTCACAGGGATCAATTTACCATTCTGAGGTCATCGTTAGAAACATCGACCACAAAAACGTGACAGGAAACAGAGTAAAACCATGAATGAGGTGTAACCGCCGCAAATGTCTGTAAGATCTGACATCTCCACATGATCCCGGTGAAAAGGTGAAACCTGGAGCACCAAACACCTGCTGTTACTACGTCATGTGACCGCTAATCTTGATGCAACTGTGATGAATCAGCGAGCCAAGCATGCTCAGTAATGTTTCCTGCTCTGCGTTCAGGAGTCGACCTATGGCACTCACATCCACGAGAAGCGTGAGGAGAGGGAGGCTCGTTTCTGCAACACCGTCCACGACATTGTGAACAGGGAGGGCCGCTGCCTGATCCCTGTCTTCGCCCTGGGACGGGCTCAGGAGCTGCTCCTCATCCTCGGTGAGGTCTTCTCTCGGTCTCCTCTGCCCATGAGCCCGGCTCCGACCCTACTGACCTCTGATCTGCTCGTGTTTTTGACCCAGACGAGTACTGGCAGAACCACCCGGAGCTCCACGACATCCCTATCTACTACGCCTCTTCTCTGGCCAGGAAGTGCATGGCTGTGTACCAGACCTACATCAACGCCATGAACGACAAGATCCGCAAGGCTATCAACATCAACAACCCCTTCGTCTTCAAGCACATCAGCAACCTCAAGGTCAGTGAATGCGGTCCGTGGGTTGTCAGTTGGCTCATATCATTATACATGCAGTATTTTTACATGTGTGTGTTTCAGAGCATGGACCACTTCGATGACATCGGTCCCAGCGTGGTAATGGCATCTCCTGGTATGATGCAGAGCGGCCTGTCCAGAGAGCTGTTTGAGAGCTGGTGCACCGACCGCAGGAATGGCGTCATCATCGCCGGATACTGCGTGGAGGGGACGCTCGCCAAGGTGAGGTCAGCTCGGACTATTTTAACTGTGTAGTCAGGAAACTGCCCTGAAGGACAAACCTGAGTGAGCCTGCTTCTGAGGCTTTTCCAACATTTTCCTGTTTCTGAGCGGAAAATGTTTCCTGGGAGTCTGATTTCCTTTTGGGGGAGTGGCAGAAAGCCCAGACCTGCAGATCTGCTCTGATTTAAACCGTCTGTGTCAGGGTTTAGGCATTAATAATAAGGCAACAGTGCCCCCATCAGGCCAGAGTGCAAATGACATCATCATTTAAAGCCTTCAAAGAGCCGAGTTTCTCTCCTGATCCCTTCGAGGTCTAACGGTTTGTCTGCGTTTCTCAGCATATCATGACAGAGCCCGACGAGATCACCACCATGTCGGGTCAGAAGCTTCCTCTGAAGATGTCGGTGGACTACATCTCCTTCTCAGCTCACACAGACTACCAACAGACCAGCGAGTTCATCAGAGCTCTCAAACCTCCTCATGTGGTAATCAGATTTATTCACTCACTCTCTGCTTCTCAGTAAACAGATGACAGCGTTTCAAAAGTGCTAAAATTGTAGCAGCTGTATAATTGTTAATCTCGACTCAGTCCAATCGCTCAGCAGAGCAGAGATTATTTAATGACAGTAAGACGTCTGTGCGCTGTGGACCTTCGCATGCAGCTTCAGTCCTGGACCTGGAGTTTTTCTTTGTTCCTCTACTGACTGAAACTGTGCACAGCACTCTGTCTGATGTCGGGAACAGGTGAGTTTAGTTTAACGTGTGCTGATCCTGGGTCTGCAGATTCTCGTCCACGGCGAGCAGAACGAGATGGCGCGTCTGAAGGCGGCGTTGATCCGCGAGTACGAGGACAACGACGAGGTCCACATCGAGGTGCACAACCCGAGGAACACCGAGGCCGTCACGCTCAACTTCAGAGGAGAGAAACTGGCCAAGGTCCTCCTGAAAACCATCCGCAGCTTTAAGCGTGTCTCGTTTCACCTTCTGCCACCTTAACTCCCAGCATCCTCTGCTGCAGGTGATGGGCTCCCTTGCCGACCAGAAGTGTATTCAGGGTCAGCGGGTCTCTGGGATTCTCGTCAAACGAAACTTCAACTATCACATCCTGGCGCCCTCCGACCTCTCCAGTCAGTAACTCAGTTTATCTGCACTAATTATTCCAGCCTGATGCTGGTCCCTGAATGCATCGCCTGTTGTGTTTGGGTTCCCCTGTTGTTTCCTGACATTTGTGCTCTCTGTACAGACTACACTGACCTGTCGATGGGCATGGTGACTCAGACGCAGGCCATCCCATACACCGGACCCATCTCACTGCTGGTCAGCCAGCTGAGAAACCTCGCAGGTAAGAAAGCAGCAAACCTCACCTGGACTCACCTGACTCGGGTCATCCAGAGTAAAACTTAAGCTGGCTCCTCCCATTACATGAAGTTGTGTGAGGCGATGAATTAGAAATATTTAACAGGATCTTTGATTGTGAATTTTTCTGCATGTCAGACTTGATGATACATGGGCTTAAAAATGTTCATGTTACAGTTTCTGAAGGTGTTTCACCTCCATCAAGACGTTTACAGAGAATGATGGAGACAATGTCTTTACAATACAAAGCAGAGCATTCATGAGCTGCTCTTTGTGTTTCAGGCGATGTGGAGCAGGTGGAGGGAACCGAGAAAATCACCGTGAGAATCTTTAAGAGCATCACGATGGTTCATGAAGCCAGCATGGTGCTGCTAGAGGTCAGACACACACACATACACTACAGCCCATGTGAGCAGAGGTGCTGTGATTTCCTACAGCCTTTGTTGTTCATGAATGCAGTTTCAGTGCTCTGTCTGAAACAAAATGTTCAGATTTATTTCAAACAGGAACTCACTGATTGGAGGAAAATTAATTTTGCTTCATACTTAAGCAGCTGTTGAAGTTTTTTTTAATTTCAGATCTTTTGTTTCTTTGTTGTAAATTTGTTTTTTTTGGGGTTTTTTTAAAGTGTTACATATCCAGAATTTTACCAATTAGTTCACTAATGTCTGTTTCATTTCGCCATCATTGAAGTAAGTAAGTGTTTCTTCTTGATTTGTTTCCTCCTCAGTGGGTCGCCAATCCGCTCAATGACATGTACGCTGACGCCGTTGCCACTGTCATCCTCGAGGTCCAGTCCAACCCCAACGCCCAGAAGTGTCAGTAAACACAGCACGGCAACTTGAAGTGCGATGTTTGGGGACAGTGCAGAATCTGTAACATCTGTGTGTTTGTGTGTTTCAGTTGTGGAGGGGAAGAAGGAAAGTTTCGACATGGACGTGTTTGTGGAGAGGCTTGCGCTCATGCTGCAGTGAGTCGCTGCCACACACAGACATGCGCACACACAAACACCACACACACCGACACACACAGACCCAAGAAATGATTTCATTTCTAACTTAGCATTTTCAAAATTTTCAAAGTAAAAGTCCCCAAGTGGTAGACTAACTTGTGTTGTGTTGCAGCGACATGTTTGGGGATGACTGCGTGAATTTCAAAGATGGTAAAAACCTCACCGTGACCGTGGACGGCGTCACGGCGTCAGTAGACCCAGAGACCAGAGTGAGTATGAGGAGTGGGCAGAGACAGACCTTCTGACAGAACACAAAACTCTGACCGTTACCACAGGGGGCTGTGCAGTTTAAGCTGCATTAAGGTCATGTGACATAAATCTGGTGTTAAGGATCATTTTGTTTTAAATCCTCAGACTTCCTGTTACAGGAACCCGATCTGTTCATGAAAAACCTGAAAGTATGGGTACTTCCTGTTCCCGCTGCAGGGCTTTATGTTAAGTTTAAACCTCAAAGCATGTAAATAAGAGACGGCGCCTCTGAGATGTCATTGGCTGAAGTTCTGTCAGGCTGCACTCACACAGAGAAATTACCTGACCTTCACGCGACTGAGATCAGCTCTGATCAGTCATTATTACATCATGACGGCATAAAAGTTGTTGGGTTGAGTTGACAGTTGCATGCCCTCTGTTCATGATGACACAGATTAACTGATAAATCAGGGAACATCAAAAGTCTGTGTCCATCTGAAAACCGAAATTCACTTTAACTTCATACATTCAGAGATCTGAAACAGATTCTTCCACAGATAACAAACACAGATCCTCGCCAACCTTGCTTTCATATAGGAACACACCCAGTTAGCCACCACTGGAGTCCCCAGTTGTAAAGACTAGTTAGTTGCACTCAGACCGATTGCAACTCATTGACAAACTGGCTTTCTGCTAAATCTGATGCTGATCATTTGTAAACCTTAAGCAGTCTGTGTGATTGCAGTGACTCTGACCTCCCAGCAGGCAGCTGTGCAGTTTCCATGAGACTGAAAGTCAGCTGCTGAACAGGAAAAAAACTTCAGTGCAACTAAATTTTTTATTTTCTCTGGAGTCCAAAATGTGTGAGGAATTGGGGGAGATGTGTAGCACACACGTGATTTTCCTGTCTGTGTTCAGACAGCAGTACCGAGTGAATGCTTCACGATACCGTGATACACAAAATATCCCTGTAAAGCCCACCTTCTCTCATTTCAAAAGTCCCTTGAATTTTCTTTCTAACACACACAGTAACATTTAAAGAGCGCCTGTAAGGTAAGTAAAGGGCTAAACTGAACTCAGACTTGCTCAAGCTTATTTTCTCATAGATTACTATAGATTGCTACTGAGCTTAACTTACAGTTGCTTCCTGGTTATGTATGAAATTAATAGTTTCACACATGTTATTTATGCAAGTATGTTGTTTGTTTCTGTAGCAAATGATGTAATACCCTTTATTTGACCTCTGTGTGTTACTCTGCAGTTGGTGTCATGCGCAGAGGACGAGACTCTAAGGGAGATGATAGAAGTTGCTGTCCATCGGCTCCATGATGCCCTAAGCCCCGCTTTCTGACAGGCCACAGTGATGTCACAGGGGATGTTTTTGTGTTTCCAGGAGATGCTTTTGTACCGATTTCCTGTAAAAATGAATGCTTCTTTTTTTATGTGTAATATAAACTTCAGTTGAGTTTCTCAGTCTGATGTTTCCTTTAGATCATCAAAGCCTCCGATGGCTGCTTTAAAAAGGTTTACACTTATTTCAGTCATGCTGGCTTATTCTGGACACAAAGCATCATCTCCAATGGTGTTCTGCAGATCTGTTAGCTGTAGCTTCACAGCCTCAGACACTGACTGTATGTAACAGATGGACATTTGTAGACCACATTTGAACAAGAGGGTGGAGTGCTAGGTGATCAGCTATTACACAGGCACAGATACCTGCTAATTAGTGCAGTATTATCTTCAACACACAAACAGTACAGAGTCTTAGAAATGTCTTCATTTTTTAATCCAAAAGCAGAATTTTCTAACATGAAATGATATATTAAATCCGACACCACTTCAGTGATGTGACAGTAAACAACATGTAGATACAGCAGAGCATCGTCTGCACAGAAGAGCACATGAAATTAAAAACACTGGCTCTATTGCATCAGGATACCAGAGAAGGAGAGGAACTCACTGCTGACGGATTTACGGGGAGTTCAGCTTTGGTGTTTGAACCTGGTTTGTTTTATGCAAGCAAAGGTCCTGCTTTTCTTTAGAAAATTAGAACAATATTCATTTTAAATGTTTTGTTTTATTTCCACATTATTTTCCCCAGGTTTTTTTTCTTTCTAAAAGTCTTGTAGACTTTGTGAAACTCTTGAAGGTGAGCATTAAACTTTGCCTTACAAAACAGTAGAAAAAAATATTCAGAAAACCATAATCTCTAATTTTTCCAATCCTGAATCTGAGATGCATGAAGTGCTTTAAAAAACAAAACAAAACAAAAAGCCCAAAACAAACAAAAACACATCAGCTTAATTTAAACGATTAAAATGAGGCTCCAAACACAAACAGTCCAAAGGGCTTTGCAGGAGGATAAAATATTTTACGTTCATATATTTACAGAGGCTCAGCACGTTGAGCAAGGCACGAACACTGACAGGTTTGATTCCCGGAGCTGCTGAGTTGCTTCACTGAACAGGACGGGTTGTTTTAGAGCAGGGCATCTCCAGGCCTCGAGGGCCGATGTGCTGCAAGATTTAGATATCACCCTTGGTCAACACACCTGAATCACATGATTAGTTCGTTACCAAGTCTCTGGAGAACTTCAGGAAATGTTGAGGAGGTAAATATAGCCAGTTGAATCAGCTGTGTTGGCTCAAGGACACATCTAAAACCTGCAGGACACCAGCCCTCGAGGCCTGGAGTTGCCCACCTGTTTTAGAGGAACACAAAGAACTGGCGTGAAAGACTAAAGTGCAAAACATCGGGAAGGAAAATGAACAGATACAAAAGCTCCGATGCCTATACTGAAGCCCTGCCCCCAATGACACCATTATTGAATACCAAGTGAAATCGAGACATGAACGCGTAAGGAGGTCGTTTACTGAGGTCAACGGTCAGGGGAGCAGGAGTCTCTTTTAGACACTGAGGAGGCGCCCCCTGCTGGTCACTGCTGCAGGTTTAAGGCACTACGGTGTTTTTATACTGTAATAAGGACATTCTGTCCACTGATAGTGAATAACGATATAAATCAAAGCATGTTATCTGAAGATTTCTTTGTTTTACTTTTTGAGTTTACTTTCTGTTGTACGTAGAATTTAGATTCATTGAAACAACTGATCCCAGACCCTGCAGTTCCTCTATCATCCAATAGAGGCGCCAGCAGGCTACCATGTTTTTTATATCAGTATCTAAAACATATTTTCGGGGCTACGTCCATCTTGTATACGTCTGTGGTCTGAGTGCCAGCTGTTGAGGCTTTTGTCTTACAGAGTATGACACTCTGCAGTCTGGAACGGATCCTGACGAAGATGCAGCTGAAGGTGGAGCCGGGATTTCGTTGTACATGTACAATGGCAAAGAGCTATTCTATTCTATGAAGGTGGAGGCGCTCGCCGCCTCAGCACTGTGTCTCCTTGCTGTCGATCTGATGCTGCCTCTGCAGCCTGAACACCTTCGCCTTCTCACTGCGGCTCATCTTCTCTGTCAGGTCCTCAAAGGAGCGCCGGGTTGCCCCTGCCGGACGTCCGAACGCCTCCTCAAGGGATGCCTCCTCCAGGTGGGAGTCTGAGCTGGGGTCCTCTTGAATGGTGGCCATGCGGGGGCTGTCCAGAGGAGGTGGGCTTTGGGCTGGGTCGGCGCCAGTCTGCTCGGGGCCACTGGGATGAAAGCGAAGGGGGCCGGAGGAGAATGTTGGAGATTTGAAGATCCGAACGGAGGCCGAATCCAGGCTGCTCAGGAGCTCGGCATTCTGGGAAAACAGAGAGACGCGTGTGAGAGCATGTCCAAGAATTGAATTTGAAAACCTTCTTTACTCAGATATTTGTGCTCACGCTCGGGAACAGGAGTGACTTGGTGGTCTGCTCGTACTGCCTATCGAGTTTCCGGTCCTGAAACCAAAGAAGTGCGACAAAATTCAGACTTCAAAGGCGACCCGAACCCTCCAGCCCCCCACAGATGCAATCACAGACGCCACTCACCACACAGTGCACCAGGATGCTGAAAGGAACCCAGAACAGCAGCGAGAACGCCACCACTGAGCCCACGATGTTATCAGCCAGAAACTTCCAGAACGTGTTGATGTCCAGCTTATCGATGAAGTCCCACAGACGCTCCACCACGTCCTGCACCTGCTTCATGCATTTTCCCTGCAGACACAGGAAATAGTCATCACTTCTTGTCGCCTTCAGTGTAAAAGCCCTGAATATTTAGCGATGGTCTCACCGCTCCATCGCAGAAACCCACGGTGCAGGGTTTGCCCTTCCTGAGAAAAAGGAAACCGCCTGATATGTCCTGATAGGGGGTGCAGACACCGCCGCTGCTCCGACAGCAGACTTTACAGGAAGCGTTGGTTTCTGAGAGGAACAAAGGCAGAAACAACGGCTTTAGCTGCAGCATGAAACAGACTGAAACACCCTCCAGGAGAAAAACAAAACGCAGAGTTTGAGAGAAGAAGCATCGCACGAGTAACTGCAGCTGTGATTCTCTGCAGTCAGCTGGGGTTTTTTTTTTAAGTTTATTTTGTAATAGAAAAAAAAGGATATTGTATTCATAAATGAACACTGGTCAATGTGTGATAACATCTTGCAACAAACTGATGCAGTCTCCTTAATTTAGAATTAATGTATTAAGAATACAGTGGCTAAGAGGGACGTCACCATGCTGCCTGATGGCTTTTTATGCATGTACCTAAATAGTGATCACATAAGTAGTACGCAAAAGGTGAAAGACAAGTCTCGTGCCGTGAAGGGACATTTAAATTCATACCTGCACTTTCAGACTCATGATATGAAGCATCATCGCTATTTTTTTTATTTTTGCAAAAGGGATCAATGCCAACGCCATTGCCATCTTGATTAAACCGCATCCTCTTCCTCCTCATCTTCTAAACTGAAGTCCGTATAAATGTGCTCATTTATTCCTGATATTGGGGCTTATTGTCAGCAGGTTAGACATGTGACAATGAGCTAACTGAAAAACAACAGCTCATTATAACGTAACATTATACTAGATACTACTAGATAACGCTGAGGTAAACAGCCTTCCTGCTATCAGCGTACACTCACTACAGAGAAAACTCAGGGGTATAAACCTAAGTTTAAATTGTTTGCAAATTGAGAGCGTCGTACCATTACAGGCGCAGGGCTGTAGCTTCAGGACGGCTTGACAGAAGGGGATACACTCTCCATTCAAACACTCGCCACTGTCCAAACACGCTGTCTTATCTGGAGCATTTTCTGGAGGAGGACACTCGCTGCTGTTTCCTGTCAACACACAACACTTTATATTACACTATCAGCGTTTCCACCTGCAGCCATTTATCCAACCTCACTCTCTGCTTCGTCTGCTATTAGTTCAAAAACATTTATTTTATTAAGATAATTAGAAGAAGTTTTCATTGTGATGACTAAAATAAGACAACTACGTATTATTAAACTGAGGATTGCAAAAGATTAGAAAGCATTTAGATTCATTGAAACGACTGATCCCAGACCCTGCAGTTCCTCTATCGTCCAATAGAGGCTCCAGCAGGCTCCCATGTTACATTGTTCAACTTTACAGCAGAAATAATAATAATAATAATAATAATAATAATAATAATAGCAATAATAATAATTTTAAAAAAATCTGCAGTCGTCTGACGCTGTCAATTGAAAGTGTTGCGTGGTAACCGGAGCTCACCTGTGCAGTATGAGTGTCCTTTACAGGTGGCATCGATGGGCTCCTGACAGACCGCTCCTTTGGCCTCGAAACTGCACTCCCTGCAGCAGGCGCTGTTCCTGTCACTGAACACAGACAGCAGGGGTGAGCCGAGAGCACCGCCGCAGGAGAACCACCTCACCTGTTAGGTGTATCTCTGACCTGCACTGAGCATCGGCCTTCAGCCTGCAGTTGGGCGTGCAGCAGAGGTCTGAATTGATGTGCAGCAGTCCTGGGTCGCACTCCTCGCCCTGCTCCACCCGGGAGTTCCCGCACACATTGATCTTCCTCTCTTTAAAGCAGGATGGTGCCTTCAACCTGAGACGCTTCACGATGGAGCGCTTACTGCAGTCAGAGAACATCTGGAAGCACACGAGAGGCAAACACAGACTGTAATTCTGCAGAGGTTCACTGTCGCTTCAACTCATAATCAATGCAGGGCTCGCAAAATCGCTAGCCCGACGTCCCGGGGCTAGCGATTTTTCCAGTCGGGCTACCAAAATCTAACTCAGCCCTGCCCGTCGGGCTATCATA